ATTCGGCCTTCAAGGGAAGTTACTAAGGCCTTTGTTTTGGATTGGTTAATTACATCTATAGTTTATTCGTAAGAGTTTTACATGGTTTGATTATAGTTATTTCATGTGAAATAGCTATATTTATTTTCTTATTAATATTTGCATGGAGAACTTTATTGTTGTTTGTGTGGACAGTCTCTGTGTGGGGACTCTACCGTTGGTCTTATGGAGGTTTGTGCTGCCATTATCTATTTCCACTGGTTCTTACTTGGAGGACTTCATGAATTTGAGTTCTCCATTATTTACGCTATTTTGTTTGCCCTCCTACTTAAATGTTCTATTTAGCTATTCAGGCTTTCATACAATAAAGGCTTCATAAGATTTTTATATAGATGTTTGAATTTTGGATATAACCTGAAGTTTGAATTTTGGGATTACCAAAAATAGATTGGGCTAATTTGTGCCGACCATATCTACTACTCTAGAGTACAAAGAATCTATCAATAGATATTTAGTGGCATGTAATGAACAAGTTTAACTTGAATAAAATTCAGGTTGACTTTTGAGATTACCAAAATTAGATTGGGCTAGTTTGTGCCAACCATATCTACTACTATAGAGTATAAAGAATTTATCAATAGATTTTTAGTGGCATGTAATGAACATGTTTAACTTGAATAAAATTTCTTTTTTAATTTTAATATTATGAGGCCATATTAATTACATCGTGTATGATAAACTTGTGATTACCTGATTTCGGTGGTTGTCATCTCATTGTACTAATGTGAGATCTGAACTTTTTCTTATTTTGGTTCTTTCATTCTTTATTCTTATTGCATCTATATAGTTTGATATTGGTTTGTTAATGTTATTGATTTGGTTCAAAATTTGGCACTTCAAAATTTTATTTTATGATTGCTTGCTAATTTTATGTTGTTCTAATTTTTTGTTGATTTTTATCAAATAACTTTGATTATTTCATCATCAGTTAGGTTTTAATTCAATTAGTATCAGTTTATATTTTAAAAAAAACTAGTGGTTGAATTATTTGGTTGTTTATGAAGTAGGAACCCTCAATTTCTTTTTTGTATTAGTTCTTATTGCGTATGCAGGATGTTTCTTTTGGTGATCTCTTTTTCTTTTTATACTCTTTATATAATAATTTGGTTTGCATGTATGATTGGTATTTATCAAATTTGATGAAATCTTAATTTCTACAATGATTTGATTTTAAATTGATTGAATGATGTTTATGTTTTTAAATTTCTTCACTTTATAGTGAGTGACTATTAAATTATTATTGTTGTGGATTTCTTCATGTTTTTGTTTTGATTCAATTATTATTAGAATCCATATTAAAAAAAATTCATTTATGAATTTGGATGTCCTTGAGTAATTTTCATGAGTCCATTTGAATAGGTATCTTCTCAATCACTCATTTAGTGGAAACAACAACAACAACAACAACAAACAAAGCCTTAATCCCACTACGTGGGGTCGGCCAAATGAATCCTTTTTCTCCATTGCGTTCTATTTATTGTCATATTTTCATTTAGTTCTAATAAATTAAGATCATTTTTTATACAATAAGGCCAAGTCTTCTTAGGTCTACCTCTACCTTTCTTACCATAAGTTGAATTTAAAACATCTATTCTCCTCATCGGATCATCAGATGGTCGACGTTTAATGTGACCAAACCATCTATGACGACTATCTTTAATTTTGTGAGTCATTGGAGCTACACCAACCCTATCACGGATATATTCATTTCGCATTTTGTCTCGTAAGTGTAAAGCCACTCATCCACCTAATCATTCTCATTTCGGAAACATTAATTTAGTATTATGCTTCTCTTTTAAAGATCAACATTCAACACCATAGAGCATTGCAGGTCTCACCATCATCTTATAAAATTTTCTTTTCAGTCTGATCGATACTTTTCTATCACACAAAAGGCTCGAAGCATTACTCCTCCACTTCAACCAACCTTCAACCAACCAACTTGAATTCTACTATTAACATCCCTATCTATATCACCATCGCTTTAAAAAACAGACCCGAGACTCAATGGATCACATCTTTTAATAATTTGTCACCCAATGTTGCACTTTTATCACTAGAGCTAATACTACTAAAATTACGTTCCATGTATTCAATTTTAGTTCTACTCAAATATTTTAGTTCTACTCAAAGTATTCAGTTTTAGTTCTACTCAAATGAAGGCTTTTAAACTCCAATGTAAACCTCAATAATTCAAGTTTTTCCTGGGCTTTTTTCTCGACTTATCCACGATAAGGATATCATCAGCAAAAAACATACACCAACATACATCCTCTTGTAAATGTCCAGTAAAACCATCCATAACTAAAGCAAAAAGATATGGGCTTAAAGTCGATCCCTGATGTAACCCAACAAAAATAGAAAAATATTTGGCCAATCCTCCTTCAGTTTGAACACAAGTAACAACTCTAGTATACATATCTTTAATGACTTGAATATAAGTCATATCAACACCTTTCTTCTTAGGAACTGTCCAAAGGATATCTCTTGGTACTTTATCGTAAGCTTTTTCTAAATCAATAAAAATCAAATATCGATCCTCCTTATTATTTCTGAACTTCTCCATCGAGCCTTTCAATAAATGTATAGCTTCTATAGTAGACATGCCCAACATAAATCCAAATTGATTATGAGAAATCTTTGTAATACGTCTTAACCTTTGTTCAATTACCCTCTCCAATAGCTCTCCATAATTTTAAAGTATGACACGTCAATTTAATTCCTCTATAATTTGCACACTCTTGTGTATCCCTTTATTCTTATAAATGGGGACCAAAATACTTTTCCTCCACTCTTCAGATATCTTTTTAGTTTTTAAAATAATATTAAAGAGTTTAGTAAGCCAAGAAACTTCCAAATCTCCTAAATATTTTCGTACTTCAATTGGGATATCATCAGGTTCTACAGACTTTCCACCTTTGCTTTCTTTAAAACCTAATCAACTTCTTTTTTACTAATGTTATGGTAAAAATAGTAAAAATGAAATGTTTTATAGTAAAAATGAAATGTTTTATTATTATTAACTATATTAAAATCGCTAAGGTGGATTGTATTTCCAAAAACTTCATTAAAAAGTATCAAAATAACACACCCACTTATGTTGAATATATGTTTTTAAGAAAAATACTTTTTGATTTTCATCTTTAATACACTTTACTTGAGTGAAATCGTTACTTTTCTTTTCTCTTTGTTTGGCTAATTTATATATATATTTACACCCTCCTTAGTATCTAATCTATTATAAAGATCACTAAAAACATAATTTCTAGCGTCACAGATTGTTTTTTTATACTCTATGCGAACCGTTTAATATTTTTCTCAGTTCTCTAAGCTTTTACATTAAAACCAATTTTTAAAGAAAACCAATTTTTATTTTATCTTTTCTTGCACATTATTATTCCACCACCAACTATTTTCATTTATAGAAACTTTTTTTTATTCTCCAAGTACATCTTTTGCTACTTGTTTAATAGTTTGTTCTTTATCTCACATAGCATTTGATTCTTCATGAACATCCCAAATTTTATAATCCCGAATTTTACTCATAAAAATAATTTTATTTGTGTCTTTTAGGTTCCCCCATCTAATTCTACGATGATGAATTATAATATCAGTTCTTCATCTTCAAATCTAAAACTAATAATCAATGTTAGATACTTAAATTCTCACTTGGAATGATCTTACAATCTTTACAATCTCGATAATCTCTTCTTCTCATAAGAAAATAATCAATTTGTTTTTATTAGATCATTCTTATAAGTAATAAGATGCTCATCTCTTTTTTTGAATAAAATATTAGTAATAACAAAATTATACACTAAAGCAAAATCTAAAATGGTTCTACCTTCTTCATTAGTCACTCTAAACTGTAGCCACCATGAATATTTTTGAAATCTTCTACCACTCTATCGACATGTCCATTTAAATCTCGTCCAACAAGAATTCTTTCTTCAAGAGGTATCATCTGTATTAAGTCTTCTATATCATTCCAAAATTTATCTTTAGACCCTATATCTAACCCTACTTGAGGGGCATAAGCACTTATAATATTAAAAATCTTAGTATCAATAATAATATTAAGTGTTATAATTATATCTCTAACTCTATTAATTTTTACAACATTATCTTTCAAGCTCTTATCTATAATTACACCTAAACCATTTTAACACCCACACCATTTCTACTGCGACTTTTACTAGAATACCAAAGTTTAAAACCTAAGTTATTAATCTCCTTTGTTTTTCTCTAACCCATTTAGTTTCTTGAATGCATAAGATATTAATTTTTCTATGAATCATGATATTAACTAATTCTATTAATTTACCGTTGGGATTACCTATATTCCAAGATCCCATCCTTATATTAGCTTCATTAATTTCGTGGACTAACTTCTTTACCCGCATTCGTCCGAATGTGTGAACCCTTGCTTATTTGACACTACACTCGGACGCCGGTGTAGTGGTCCTTGCTCCCTTTTCACTATATTCAGATCATACAACTCGTCGTTTCTATGGGACACCCTAACTCTTACACAATGATCAAAATGACTCGAGTCATATTTTTTTCGACAAATTTTATGCTGACTATCGACCACTTAACGCAACTTTTCACTTTTAACATCCGGGCTTAGGGCAGGCAATGACAGTGCTTAGTGAAAAAAACAACAAATATATATATATTTTTTAATGTCAAATTTCATGATTACTTGCGAGTCATCAACTAGAGGATTTCTTGTTGTTTTGGTTTTTAAGAGAATTTTATTCCAAAAATAGATGCAAAAAGTTTAACGCTAAACTTAAAAAAGCGCGTCCGCTGGAGTGTGTTTTCAGCTGTGTAACAGTAGAACTATTTTGACCTTTGCATTGGCATAAATCTTCTGAGATGACATAAGTGCTATCCTTATCTTAGAGCCTATTTACTTTTATATTTTGACAAACATTCCTCTTTAAACATATGTGCAGGTCTGCAGTGTAAAATTACTCGAAGGGGATACTATAGTCATGGGATCTGATGGATTTTTTGATAATGTGTATGACCATGAAATTGTTGCCATAATTTCACAATTTAAAGATGCTGCAGATGATGGTAAACCTTATTTTACGTTGATTGTTTGATCAAACTATGCTTTTGCTCTATTTAAACTTCCATTTTTGTTTCCCTCTTCAGCAAAGATACTAGCAGATCTAGCAAGCACACATTCCACAGATGCGAACTACGATTCACCATACTCATTTGAAGCCAGAAGTAGGGTATGCTTTTTCTTCAAATATTTAATTTTTTTCAAGCTATTAAAGTATGAATTTTTCTATTAGGCCTGCTTCTATCTTATATGTAGTATAGAAATCCAAAAGAGAAACTAACTGGAGAACTCTATTCATCTTATGTTCCCTGTGAAACTAGGGCAGTCAAGTTGATTGGGTTGACCATATGGCCATGAACATAGCTCTCTAAAAGTTATAATGGGTTGGTCTAAAAAAGATTTAAATTTAATCCCAACAATTTTTGTTAAGTTACTAGGAATCAAGGTAAAAAAATTGAGTATTTTTTACTCATAAAAAGCTCGTCCAATAAATCACATGTTCTTATATTATAAAATAAGTTATGTAAATATAATTAATTTTGAGTTAGCTCGAATAAGTTTTCATCAAGGCATTTTAAATTTAAAAATAATCAAAATAATTTTGCTGTCAAATATCTTGTTTCAAACTTAAATTAGATGTATGAGTTGATTTTGATTAGTGTGATATAAAGTGCATTTTAAAGTCCAAAATGGGGTTTGAAAGGCTTCAAGAGAAGAAATTAGATACTTTTGAACAACCCATTTGACGCTCCCTAAATAAAACTAAAATTTCTATTTTTTTTAATTTTTTTAATTAATTTATTTTTCATATGGATACCACTTGCTAAGACTTAGAGAACTCTAGAACTAAGAGAGAAAAATCATTAAAAGTTTAGCACGTGTTTGCAGGGGTATGATATTCCACTCTGGAGGAAGGTTCTTGGTCAGAAACTAACAGGTTCATTGAAATCCATGTGCTAAAATAAAATAAAAAAAAAAAAACCATGCATTTTTATCATTTCCGCTTCATTTCCGCTAAAACCACATCTCATTGCGGTTTTGATGCTTTAGGTGGTAAACCAGACGATATTACTGTTATTGTTGGTCGCGTTCAAAACTCATGAGTTGCACAGATGTTATTTGGAGGAATTCTATGCAGAGGAATCGCTTTAGATCTCATTCAATTGATTTTGTAGATTTGTGTAAATTTTAATTATTCCATGTCATTAGAACTACAATTGTCATGAAATGCAAAATTGCACTCGCAACCATTATTTGAAGGACAACAAGAACTACTCATTTAATTTCCAGTGCAAACATATATATATATATATATATAATCTCGATTCCATTTGTTTTAGACAACTTTTTCGTTGAATGACATTTCCAAAAAAATTAGCTTTATTTGCAATTGCGTTGTTTTACACTGAGCTATTAAAAAACTGTTTTTCATTCACTCTGTCATTCATCCAACCCAATCATTATTTAGCTGAAACTATAGTGCTTAGGCACCTTTTATTTTTGTTTCTTGTATGTATGAGTAGGCCTCATGAAATTATTTTGACTCGGTATGCATTATTTGAGCAAGTATTGTATGATAGAGGCAACCATTGGCTGCAAATAAGAGCAGAAGTGCTAGAACCAAATGGTCTGCTTGATTATTAAGCTGATCTTCGAGATGAGAGAAATATACATTTATGTGTGTTCATATCTAGTTTATTTTGGTTGAGTTCCAATAAAACTTCGCTTGTCAGAAAATCTAAATTAAGATGAGACTGAACACCCTTTACATGGGGCATCACTAAGAAACCGATTGAAATCAAATCAAATAGGTTTGAGTTGACTTTGAAATTGACAGACGTACCAAGTAACTTTTAGGTAATATCCACATGTTCCTTATTGTATAGTCTTTGAGTTATTTGTAGAAACTGATACTTAAAAATAAAAAAAATAATAATAATAAAAATAAAAAAAATGAAAAATTGAAACATCAAGATAATCACCTCTATGGTTATATTTAGGAGTTGTATGTCAATTCGAACCACTTGAATGATACGATGAAATTAGAGAGCAAAAGCGAGAGGCAACACAGAAGGAAAAAGAAGAAGGAAGAATCGTGAGTAACCCTAGCTTGCAGGGGAGGATTTGTACCTTGTTGTCGACACCGCAATCGGTCGAGAGAAGGGAAGATGGTGCCTTGAACCTGAAAAAGAAGCTCTAGCTATGCACGTGCATGAATTGGGTTGAGTGAGAAGTCGTGTTTGGGGTGCAATTGCTTGCAGGTGACGAGTCAACTGTATAAGGTTGTGTTGGCGTCTAGGTCGAGGAAGGTTTTGAATCAAAGACAAAAAGCTTAGGACAACTTTGACACGTGTAATGGAACATTGTAGTCATGCTTGTGTCCTCTGTGCACGTGGGAAGAATGAAGAGGCTTGCGTGTGTGGGAGGCTTCAACACCTCGTGTGAGCCACTTCGTGCAATGGTGGAAGAGCTGAAGCCAAAGCCTAGTGATCCTTACTGCCTGGCATGCATATCTTGTGGGAAGAAGAAGAAGAGGAGGCAAAGGCTTACAGGTTTGTTCCCGTGCAGGAGATTAAGTCGAATTGAGCAATTTTAGCTTAAGGGAACACCGAACTGAGCATCTATAAGGTGAGTTTGGGCTTTATCTTATTAATTGATGAATTATATATATATATGCTTATTTATTAAATTTTATTGGTGGGTTTCATTATTTCAGAATTGAAGCTATAGAAGTTTTAGATTGGAGGGAGATTGAGATCAGTTTTTGTGCAAAAGAGGAAAAGATAATGATATGTGTGAATTATATGCAATAACTGTCTAAGTTTTCTGCAAATTTCTCTATTATTGGTTTCTTTTTATGCTTTTCCAGGTGTTTTAGTGTAATGTGCATGTTAAATGGACTTTTGAAAACTTAAAAACATCTTAGCAGAACCTTGGATCCCAAATGAAACCATTTAGTGCCACCTAGGAAACTCCAGCGCATAGGTTTAATACCGTGCCCTTGTGCCAACAAGGGACGCAAAGGCACCTTTCTTCTCAATTTGCTCGTGCCATATAGAGTCTAGTTGCATCAAACCCATCCCCCCACCTCACCTTTCCTTTTAATGTGCTAAGATGCCAACAAGGGAGTTGTAGGCACCCTGCTTACATATGAGGCCTAGCGCCGCTTTGAGTGTTTATTTGCTCTTCCAATCTAAGCACGAGACAATGCTAACTGAGCCATCAGAACTCCTGCACCGCACTTCAAAACCTCGATGCTGACGAACTAACTAACAACATTTAGAGGGGTTTCGCTCCACTGCAAATCTGAACTGTTGATCCGTGGGATTGAACTCTACAAAAGCAAAATTTCTGAAGACGGGCTGCTCTCTCTTTGGTCTTCGACCTCTTGTTCTTCAAGGGCTCTTCTAAAGTTTTTCTGTGAGTGTGAAAGCGAGCGATTTTGTTGAGAGAATGGAGAGAAACTTTGTGAACAACATATGGAGAAGGATTTGTGCACAACAAATTGAAGATATTTCAGGGTATACTTTGTGTACGTTTTCTTTCTCAAACTCTTTGTAATTGCTTTGATCTGAATGAAACAAAGTTTAAAATTTGTGTTTTGAAAGCATGGATAGGAACTAAAATTTATGTCTCTCCTAATTTGATGAATAAAAACTCTAGGTTTTGATGACTATTATGACTAGATCTATTTCATATTTTGGTGTGATTTTTATGTTTCTACACTTCATTTACATGCAAACTAGCCACATGACTTGCTAAAATATTTTGTGAACTTTGAGATGCGGAAGTATTCATAGTGGAACATCTAGGATAAACTTCATTAGACTAAGAGAATAAAGAAATTTCTCATGGTTTAGTGATATCGTCTAGGGATATATTTAAACTTGGGGATTTCACTAGATTTAAGGAACTAAATAAACTAGTGGATTGTACTAGCTTCCTTTATGCCACCAGATGGCGGTAAGGAAGAGGCTTGCCCCTAGTAGCCACCAACTTAATGTCACTTGATCAATCTCAGGTTTTTAGGAAATTAATTATAATTTAAAAGATTCGGTGTAAAAGCGAGTTAAATGAGTTGATCAATCTCAGGTTTTTAGGAAATTAATTAAAAGATTCGGTGTAAAAGCGAGTTAAATGAGTTGAAATAAATTTGAAAAGAAGATCTATTAAAAAAAATGAAGAAATGACATGATAAAAAACTTATTAGGAAAAAAACTTGAGTCTAGACAAGAGGCGTTATTATACAACTCATGATTGAAATTATTTTTGGAAAACATAAGTTTAGGTGGTCGAGACCATTTATTGTATTTAAGGTTTACTCTTTTAATAGTGTGGATATTGAAGATAAAAAGAGTGTTAGGGTGTTTAATGTGAATGGTCAAAGGCTTAAATTGTATCTAGGGGTGATAAGATTGGCCTTAAAGAAACTTTGACTTTAGGTCTACC